TATTATGCACATAAGAAAGTATATTATTATAGAAGAAAGTGTTGCTATACAATTTATAATCTATATTTCAGAATTTGAAAAAAGAATTTTGAGAGAGAATTACATATCATAAATCTAAAAGTTGATGACATTTCTGAAGCAATTAATACTTTATTAAAAAGGAAAAGAACTGAATTACCAGATTCATCTACGGTCAATGAAGTTCCAGAGGTTATACAATCATTCCCAGTGAATGAAAATTCTTTACTTGCATTAGAAAATTGGTTGATAAATCCTGAACACAAAATTATATTGGTGAGATCTTTAAAGCGATACATTAATACCATTATATTTTGTAATAAAAAAAATATTTTAATAAAAAAAATTTTTTCAATATCAAAATTTTTTTGTAAATTAATCTAAATAATGATCCTTTTATTATGGTAGTCTCAACATCTAAGTCATATCGGTGGTTGTACTGTGAAAGAGATAGTACGGAGAATAATGTATCACGTATTTTCTAATGAAGTTGGTATGATGTACTCTTGGGAAGAAGTAAAGAAAAAAAAGTCTTTAAGAATTTAGCTGTAGCATCTGCTATTATCTGTAAGTTAAAAATTTTCAGGTGATTCATCACAATAATACAATTAAACAATTGTAAAAATTATTTAAAAAGATTTTTCTAATTTGTAACTTATACAAAAAAATATTTTACAGCTGCTGTAAGACTAAATAAGAATGCTCAAGACTCAACGAATACAGAAATAATAGGTTTTATTAAAGCATGGCTCGTAAGGAGCAAAGATTGCTTTAACAATAACAAAAGAAAAAGTACTTCTCAAGATGTTGAGGATCACTATCCTAATAATGCAGAAAACGCCGTAAATATACAAGACTCACAACATGATGCTTAATATTTCATCAGCTATGGTATGTAATTATAGTAAGGTTATAATTAATTATAATATTGTATCTCTAAAATCTGTATTCCTAAAATTTATCGCTTTACAATTTATATTCATACAATTTGTATACATAGAATTTTATTTGACACGTAACAAGCGATTTACTCACGCGTGCTTCCGCAAATTGCGAACAGATAAGGCGACGGTCATAGGTAGAGATCAAAAAGACTTACTCTGTAACCAATGGTTCCTCGGCGGTAGCAATCCCTAAAAAATCATGCAACGTATGGACATTGCGACAGCAGATTATCGTTTGGTCGACTGAAATATGGACACCACCAGCAAGAAGGTCATCGACGAAATTTTGAACCTATTAGAATATCGAGTTATGGTAGTGTGCGTGATTACTCCCCCGAGGTGCGCCACCTTGTCGTGGTGGGGGAGCTTAGGCGGGCGTTCGGCCTGGAACCGTCTGTGTGCCGCTTTAGGCTCCGGCGGTTCCATTGGCTGGGCGTCCGCTGACCAAGAGCGTACCACCCCTCCCTCCAGTTAATGGGGGGAGGTATGGAGTCCGGCGACTCCGGTCTCGGCTGCCTCGACGGTTATGTCGAGGCAGAACAGAGATCACTCGTCGGTAGAGGAGTTCCCTTCACCGGGCCCCACGGGTGTCTTCCCCGGGGGAGCTCGGGGGGGACGGGGGGGCGGACTTCTCGGTCTCCCCATGTTGGGGGGGCCGGGAATCCGTCCCGCCCGAGGAGACGGGCTGACGAGGCCGCTCGGACTTATTCCGAGGCAGGGCTCGGCAGCCTGGGGCCCTTGGAGCCGCTGGGACGTTTCCCAGGCCGGGGTCCAGGGCCGTAGGCGGGGGGCTGTCGGGGCCGCTCGGACGTTTTCCGAGTCAGGGTCCGGCAGCCCGGGCGGGGCTCTGGTGGCGTGCGCTCCGGGTGGGCGGCTGTCGACGCGCTTTAGCGGCCTCCCGGCCCGGGGTGCTCGCTGCCAGAGTGCCGTCTCTACCCTTCTAAGGGCGGACGGGGTCCAGCGACTCCGCAAGGGGGACTCGTTCACCACACGTGTGGCGGACGAGCCCGCCGATCGCTGGTAGGGGATGAGGTACCCCGACTTCAAACCTCCGGCTTCCGGGACCGATAGGGGGGAGCTTGCTCCACCCACCGGACCGGGTCGCCCCCACCGATCCCGGCAGGGATCGGGGGGAGCCCGGACGAAGAGGCGTGAATCGCAGCGGAATGCCGGCGCTCCGGCATTCGGCTGGGATTCGGGGGGAGGCCACCGTCTCCATTGCACGCCGGTGTTCCGGCAGGAGGCGGTGGCAAGGGGGCTCCTCCGTCAGCGGGTGCGTCGTGGACGTGCTCGCGGACGGGGGAGAGCCGGACCCCTGAGGTATTGGGACGTGGTCCTAGCCGAGGGGTGGGCCGGAAGCTACGGCTCCCCGGCGGTTGGACCGGACATGGTCCGATCCTTCCGGTGGGGAGAGGCAGACCCTGGGCTAGCCACCTGGGTGGGCTGTCAGACAGACGGGGATCGGGGCCGCTCGGACATTTCCGAGGCGGGGCCCGATCGCCTGGGGACCGCTGGGGCCGCTGGGACGTATTCCCGGGCGGGGCCCGGTGGTCCGGTGACGTTGGTCGGCAAGTCTGCCGGCCAACACCCGGTCCTCCGTGACGAAGCGGTCAGTCCCTGCGTCTGGGGCCGACGTCCCGCTGCTGGTGCGTGCGGCCTGGCGTACGGGGCTGGTCGTGGAGGGCGGAGGACCGGTCGTGTGCGTGTGTGTGTGCTTGGGGCGCGGTCGGCTGCTGGCGGATATTTCCCGGAGACTAACCAAGGGGGGAGTAGTAAACCCCCCGACCGGGGACGGGCGGTGACGTCTGTACCTGACCTCGGCCGTGGACTATGTGGGTGCGTAAGCCCGGAGTATTCCGGCAAAAACCACAGGAAGCGGCAGGTTTAACGTGGGAAAACCGCTCCCGTTCGTCCGTCTGGAGCCTAGCCGGGAGTTGAAGCCAGTATGCCGGGCGCGTGTATGGAGGGGCCGCATAGCCAGCGGACCCCTCATACTCTTGCGGGGGGGGGGGAGCTCATTCTCGCGAGCTCTAGCCTGGGGGCGGAGTATGCGGCCGGTCGGTACGGTGCGCGCTCTGCTCCTAGGGTGAGCCTAAACCTGTAGCATCTTTGTGGACCTGGCCCTCTCCAGGAACCTTTTCTTTAGAGTCACAGGGTGGGATAGGGGTGGCTCCCCGACAAGCAGCTTCTCTGCTTCCCACCATATAAATAGGGTTTGTTTTCCCCGGGGAAGATCCCTCACCGCGGTGAGGGTGTCATGTTGACCGAACCGGGTTACAAGTATCTCTGCCAATATGACCAAAACCAAACCAAAAACCACCAAAGATGCGAAGAAGAAGGGAAATGACGACTCCAGGGGACGCGGCAACACTTCCGCGCCCAAATGGGGGAGTCAGAAAGCGCGAGAGGAGGCGGAGAAAATAGCCGCTGACATGACGAGGGCTCGGGAAGAGGCCGCCGCTGCCGAGCTTGGAATGATAAGAGGCGATCTCCCGTCTACCTCGACGGGACGAACAAAGGCAGGCCCTGCCAGTTTTAAGCGCAGCCTGGAGAAGAAGAACCGGTCACCAACGCCGGAAATTGATGTGGTCGACGGCTCCGATCTGGAGATTGAAAATGCACACGCGACGAGGACGAAGACGGCCGAGGTAGTTCCGGCAACTGAGCACTCCGAATCTGACACGGAGATGCTCGATGAGGACGAGGAGCCGAGGGATCGCCGAGGTCGCCCCCCGATTGTCGGCAAGTATCTATTGATGAGGCAAAGACTGGCCGCATCGAGGGAAGTGAAACTCCTAAAGAAGGAAGCCAGAAACTTGAAAGACATTCTGGATAAGCGTGTCCTTCCCAATCTGAGGGATAGGAAAAATATCACGCCCGAGCGAGAGACAGCCCGCCAATGGAGTCGATGACCCCGGCACAAATTTCGGCGGAAATGACGATTCACACTGATTTGGTCACGAAAGTGGCAGAGAAGTCCAAGAACCTTCAAGGTATCATGGTCCACCGGCTACATAAGGCCGCTACTACGATCAGGGCTGGCACGAAGGTCTTGACGGATAAGGCGACTACCCCGGAAGAAGGGGGGAGCCCCACGGAAGTGGAAAATCTAAGGAGCAGAGTTAGGGAGCTGGAGAACCAAGTCCTCCAGCTGAAGACTCTGCTCCAGCAGAAAACACAGTCAGAGGGGGCTGTGTCGACGAGAAAGCGCAAGATTCAGAGGATGGCAGAGTCCTCTGACGAGGAGGACCAAGCTCTACGATTGAGTACGCCGCAACTGGAGATGGAGCAGATAGACACCCGGGCGGACGAGAGAGTGGAGGAGGACTTCGTGCCGCACACGGTGGCGATTAGGCCAGCACTGCGCTGCAAGAAAAAGGAGATAGAGGGTCTTCCAGAGAACAGGGCCCTCGAGGACGTCAGGAGAGTCCTGAAAGGAGTCTCCGTAGAGAAAATCCTGACGGGAGATGCGAAAACCGTTAGGGAGAGCATCGGGAACCTGATGACGAGGTGTGAGGGCGCAATGGCGATTCTCCCTCCAGTAGGAGGAAAAGTAGCCACCGCCAAGCAACCCAAGACAGCCGCGAGTAGCCAACAGGCGAAAGGGGCTGTGAAAAAGGGCGAAACGAAGGGTCAGGCGAACAAGGGTGGTCAGCCCAGAACGGCTAAAACGCCGACAACGGCTAAAGCGCCGACAACTGCCAAGGCGACGGGGAATTCTCAGAAACCTCAAGCCAAGATAGATGGAGAGGGTCGACCGACCAAGGGGAAGACGCAGAGCCAACCGCCGGTTGTCAGAGCAAGAGAGGAGACGCGGGGCAGAGATCTAGATCCAGATCAAAGTCCCAAGGAACCTGGGTGGAGGTCGCTAAGAGAGGCCTCAAAAAGAAGAGCGACGCGGGATCGAGAGAGCCGGCGGCCAAGGGTAACCCGACTGCCCCGGAGAAGAAGAAGGCGCCGAACAAGCCCGGCAGCCAGCGAAGCCCGAGGACGCAGGCCGTAACGTTGACCTGCCCGCCGGGTACTTACGGCGAAGGGATGCGATTAATCAGGTCGCAAATCAATCTCGGGGAGCTGGGAATTGACGCCCTCAAACCCAGGAGAGCCCAGACGGGGGCCATCATCCTGGAGATCTCGGGGGAGAACGCCAAGGAGAAGGCGGACTCCCTGGCCGATAGGATGAGGGCGGTCGTCGGAAACAGAGAGGGAGTGAAAGTCACGCGCCCTGCCAAGATGGCGGAAATCCGAGTTCGTGACTTGGACGACTCCATCACGGTGGCAGACGTGAGGGAGGCGGTGGCCGAGGCGGGGGGGTGCATACTCCAAGATGTTAAGGCTGGCGAAATCAAACTCGCCCCAAATGGTTTGGGTACCATTTGGATTCAATGTCCGTTGGCGTCAGCCAAGAAGGCTGCTGCCGCGGGGAGGATTAAAATAGGGTGGATCAGGGCAAGATTGGAGTTGCTGGAGAACAGGCCTCTAATCTGCTTCAGATGCCTCGAGAGGGGCCACGTCAGGGCCCAGTGCCGCAGTAAGGTGGACCGAAGTGAGCTCTGCTGCAGGTGCGGGGAAACCGGACACAAGGCCCAAACGTGCCGAGCCGAGCCCAAGTGCCCGGTGTGTACGGAAAAAGGATTACCGGCCAATCACAAGGCCGGGAACAAGGCCTGTCCCCTACCGTCAAAGAAGGCCTTGAAGAAGAGGAGGCGCGTGGAAGAACGACAGCAGGCAACACCGCAGACCCCGCGGAGCCAGACTGGAGGACAACCCGCGAACTTGGACGCGATGGAGGTGGAGCCCCCATAGCGGAGACGAGCACCCCTGCCCCGCTGGGGCAGAGACAGACCAGGGCTGGGGTTAGCCCGCAGCGAGAGGGAGAGGGCCAGGAGGAGGCCAGCGCGGCATTGCCTTCATGCCCGTAAGGATAGTTCAGGCGAACATTAACCACGCCCGCCAGGCCCAAGATCTGATCTTACAAGCCATGGCGGAGCGTGGGGCGGGCTTAGCGATTATAGCAGAGCCATGGAGGGTGCCGGACCGTCACCCATGCTGGGCGACAAACACGGAGAGGTCGGCAGCGATACACTGGCGGCGCACGAAGGAGCAGCACGTGCCGTGTTGCAAGAAAGGTGAGGGACCAGGATGGGTCATGGTAGAGTGGGGCCCCCTATTGGTAATAGGGGTCTACTTCAGGCCCAGCCTGTCCCGGGCTGAATTAGAAGAAAGGCTGGAGGACCTGGAGTTACAGGTCAGAGCGTCCTTGCCGAGGCCAATACTGGTCGCCGGGGACTTCAACGCCAAATCGGCGCTTTGGGGTTCCCGGCGGCCGGACGCCAAGGGTACGGAGGTGGAGGCGTGGGCAGACCGCCTGGGCCTCCACCTCATGAATACTGGCACGACGACCACGTGCGTTAGGCCGCAGGGAGAGTCGGTGGTAGACATCACCTGGATCTCCCCTGCGGCGGCGAGGACCATCACGGCATGGAGGGTGGCAAAGGAAGTCGACCTCCTCTCGGATCACCTCATGCTGGAGATGGAGGCCCAGCTAACTCCCCCGCGAAGAGGATGGACCCCGACAAACTACAGTCGTCCTTGGCTGCGGAGATGTGGGTCCCGAGGGCAACGATGACGCAGGAGGGGGAAATTGAGGAGGAGGTCGAATGGATCAGGCGGGCAATGACCCGAGCCTGTGACCAGGCCATGCCGAGAACGACCTTCTCTGCTAGAAGGGCCACGTACTGGTGGTCCGAAGAATTAGGAGATCTCCGCCGGGAGGTCATCCGTGCGAGAAGGAGAGTCCAAAGGGAAAGAAGGCGAACGATAGTGGACCAGCAAACCCTGGACGCCCTCCTAGAACAATGGAAGGAAAAGAGGAAGGGGCTGAAGATGGCAATCCTGGCGGCGAAAGAGAAGGCCTGGGAGGAGGCCATCGCCAGCTTGGAGGAGGACCCCTGGGGGCGCCCTTATAAACTAGTCTTAGATAGACTTAGTAAGGGCGCACCCCCGACGCGACGGTCGAAACGCTAGAGCCGGAGTTCCTGGACGACGTAGTCCGCACATTGTTCCCAGCCGGGGGCAACGGACCGGCTGCAACGATAGAGGAGGAAACCTCGGCCAATGAGGAGGTAGCCGAAGAGAACTGGCGAGAGGACCTTGGTGTCACGAGCCAAGAGATCGCCAGGGCGGTGAAGAAGATGAAGACGGGCAAAGCCCCTGGCCCTGACGGGATCCCAGGGGCCGCGTGGAAAGGGGCCATGGGGGAGATGGCAGATAGGCTGACCTCGGTCATGACCGCCTGCCTCAAGATGGGGTACTTCCCGCAGCTCTGGAGGGAGGCCAAGCTGGTCCTCCTTCCTAAGGAGGGCAAGCCGGCGGAGTTTCCCTCAAGCTACCGCCCCATTTGCCTCCTCGATGAAGCGGGCAGAATGTTCGAGAGGGTGATCACCTCTCGACTGGTGCGTGGTCTGGAGAGCGGCGACGGAGAAGGCTTACATGTGCGTCAGTACGGCTTTCGAGAAGCTAGATCAACCGTCGACGCAATAAAGTGTGTGCGGGCGCATGTGGCTACGCTAATTGAGGGGGGGGAGTTGTCATGGCGGTAGCCCTTGACATATCAAATGCCTTCAACTCCCTCCCCCACACTGCGATAAGGAGAGCCCTGCTAAGCAAAAAGGTACCTGCTTACTTACGCAGGACGATTGAGAGCTACCTGGAGAACAGGACAATATCTTGTTCCGACGGGGACGCTGCTAGGAGAGTGTGGAACGCGGAGAGCGGTGTCCCCCAGGGCTCGGTCTTGGGACCATTCCTGTGGGACGTCGTCTACGACGAAGTCCTCCGGACCGCCCTGCCCTCCGGCTGCACCATGATCTGCTATGCAGACGATACATTGGTGCTAGCCGGGGGGCGGGACTGGAGAGATGCCGTGCAAACGGCAAACATAGCCGTCGCGTGCGCGGTGCGTGCGATAAGGGCGATTGGCTTGAGTGTGGCAGCCAACAAGACGGAGGCCACATTCATGCACGATGGGTCGCATGGGTCGTCTCCGGAGGCGTATCTCACAATAGACGACACAAGAGTCGATGTGGGGACCCAGATCAAATATCTGGGTCTCCACATCGACGAGAGATGGACGTTTGAGGGGCATGTTCTCAAACTGGCTCCCAGATTGGGTATGGTGGCAAATTCACTGTCACGCTTGATGCCCACTCTGGGAGGCTCCAGCGGGCGAGTGAGGAAACTTTACGCGAATGTGGTGCACTCCGTAATGTTATACGGAGCACCGGTATGGTCGGAGGCAGTGCGTGGGAATAGGAAGGCGTTGGCAATCCTACTCCAGGTACAGAGAAGGATGGCGGTCCGTGTAACACGTAGTTACAGAACGGTGTCGCATGCAGCTGCGACGGCGATGGCGGGAATTCCCCCGGCAGACCTGCTAGCGGAGGCGTATACAAAGGCATACGAGCGGATTGCTCGTATGAAGGAGGAAGGGGCCCCAGTAACGGGGCGAATCAAAAGACTGATTAACCTCCAGGAGAAGGAGGAACTGAGGGAGAGATGGAGGGCCCGGTTATCAAGGCCAGACACTGCTGGACAACGTACCGTGCAGGCCATCCTCCCCAATTTGGATGCATGGCTCGACCGTGCGTGGGCGAGAGCATCATATCGGACGACGCAGGTGTTGTCCGGGCATGGATGCTTTGGGCAATACCTGTGTCGGATTAAGAAGGAGCGGACGCCTGTCTGCCATCACTGTGGGGAGGCAGAGGATACACCGACCCACACGCTCGACGACTGCCCGGCTTGGGAGGCTCAAAGAAGAGACCTAAAAAGGGTAGTGGGAGATAATCTCTCCCTCAGAGAGGTGGTGAGGGCAATCACGGAGGGTGAACCGGAGTGGAGGGCGTTCTCCTCCTTCTGCGAGCACGTGATGTCGCAGAAGGAGGAGGCGGAACGCGTCCGCAGGGGGGAGAGCGAACCCCCAGGGGCGCAGCAGAGAGGAGGCGCAAGGAGGCGAGGAAGGAGAAGAGGAATCCTTGCGCACTTGCGCAGAGACTAAGAGGAGGGGCGGTGGCCCGTTACGGGTAGCCACCATCCCAAGGCGTTCAACAAAACGCAGTGTGATGGGGGGCGATACAGCAACCAAGCTGCAATAAATAAGCCCGCCGGAAGAGGAGGTTATGATGGGCCCGCTAGGGGGGCCCTGCAGTAGAGACCGGCTCAGCTGGTCCATCGAGGAGGCGCGGTCTGGAGGAGGGGGGGCGGGATTCGTGGGGTGACTGGCCCCTCCCCAAAGAAAAGGGGGGGCGTCAGTACGCCTGCTACCCTTCCCCCCTCCTTCAGTCAGGCACACTGGCCGCAGGGTTAGGAAGAGGGGAGATTTCCCTGCACGGCGTCCGGGACCCGCCTACGAATAGGCCCGGGGTATCTCCTGCCTGTCGTAAGAGGCGACTAAAAGGAGAAAAAAAACCTGGGAAGCAGGGAAATCCCAGGGGGCGGGTCAGGGGCTGAGGACCCCTGGTTCGCCCGCCCCCACAACATCTAGGGGGCGCGGCGAGGGCCCGGTGGCACCCCCGTCGCGACGCGTTCTTGCGTTAGAAGAACGCCCGAAATCCACGGGCGTAGCTCTTAGCTTTCAGCCAAAGAGCCGAGACGGGCGCGCCACATATACAGGTGCGCGGCGCCGAGCGGGCCAGGATGGAAATGCGTTGCAGTCCCCGGCCCGCTCGCTATGGCGCAGACAAGTCCACCCCAGGTGGTTTTAGTGCGGTAGGCGTCTTCATTGCACTACTGGTCCCATGGGTGTCAACTGCCCAGGGATCAGGGAGACGAGTCCCACACACCCCCCTGTCCCGTCCCAGCGGGGCGGGGGGACGGTCCATGAGGATTTCCACCGGGTCAACAAAAAAAAAGTGTGCGTGATTAAGGACGTGATTAAGAGTGTTATTTGTGACAGTTTGTACCTTTCTCTTCTTCTTGTGCGAGTAAAGATTCTTCTTTTCATCGATTTCTTTTAATGTTTGTTCGCACTGGTACGCTGGTATTATTTAAAAATAGGTTTCCTAGGAGACACACCGTCGAATGTAGCCTAAATGTAACAATTCATGTTAAGCGATATTTAGTTAGTTACGCGCAAATATATTTCATATCGTGTCAAAATATTATATTTGTCTCTCTCTTTCTTCTTGTTTCTTCTTTTATTGTTTATCCCCAGATTTCTACACTCGCTGTTATTATGGTGAGATCGTCCTCTTAATAGACTGCTGTAATTAAGCAGTGAAAGGCTTAGAAAATATCGCGCATTACCGCATAGTTTACGATATACGTTGTGCACAATATTTTCTACTTTTTATCGTTTAAGTCGTGCGCGCATATGTGGTACTATATATTAGACAAATATATTTTTGTACCAATATAATTTCGTTTTTACTGTGAGATCTCATTGTATAATATATCAAATAATAAAGATTCGAGTTCACTACTATTTTGTCTTGTATCAATTCAAAGGTTATCTACTTTCCTTATTTTTAATTTCTCTTTCAAAGCTTTGTTCAGGGAATAAAAAACATTCCAACTGCATTGCAGTAACGTTTCAAAACATTACCATGTTGTAGCTACAATATAGTTGAAATATACATATAAATTGCTTACTGAGTGATTAATATATGTATATTACATGTATATTACGCATATAGCACGCATGTTTAAAAGACATCTTTAATACGTCTTTAAGACGTCTTTTAGATATGTATATATCGAAAAGACGACTTAAAGCTGTCTTAAAGATGTCTTTCAGACATGCGTGC